TAGCGCCACCATGAGATATATGACCATTGGTCAAACCTTCACCCTCAACTTAGGTAAGGAGTTACGATGGCATAGTCCAGTATTGTCCAAACTGGGGTCCGCAACATAGATCATATGAGTACGTGAACAAATAAGGACACACACACACACACACACACACAAACAGAAACATCACACGTTCTATGAATCATCTTTTTTTATTCCTGTATTAAAATCGATTTTATTGACAACACTCCTGTAATGAGTCTTTTCATAATTAGTATATTATTTGCATTTCCATAAACTGTTTACAACAACAGTACAAGAAAGTAATAAGGGGTACAATAGGCGAAAATGTTTGGACAACACTGGCATAGTCAAGGCTGAGGCTATGCTGCTAAACAATATGTAGACATATAACACCATGCATCATATCTCACAGCAAGCAAATATGAATATAGACTTAACAGTAAAAAACATAAATGCATAATATATTTCCTTGTCCCACCGAAGAGGGATCTCTTGGCAGCAACCCCAACAACTCTGTGGCCGTTAACAAGGTTGAATTGGAAGGCGTGAAGGCTGTTCAGAATGATTTTGCTAACCTAGTGGACTTCGAGAATGGTTTGTTCGGTAAGTGAAAAACAGAATTCGTGAGTTTGTGTACGAGTCCAATGATAAATCTTCCGAGAGATAATATATGAATGACACATTAAAAAGGAGAAAGAAAGAAAGAAAAAAAAAGAAAAAAACAGTAAAGCGTGAAGAGAAAATGGATATTTTGTGTGAAGAACCTTAATCAGTATGAAAAAAAATGGATATATTGTGTGAAGAATCTTAATCAGTATGAAAAAAATGGATATTTTGTGTCAAGAACCTTAAGCACTATGAAACATCTCACAGGCTGGTCTACTGGCAACATGGACGGCGGCCGCTGGGTGCTGCAGAGCTGGAGCGACCTGGATCCCTCGCTGTACGTCCCAAAACCTTCTGACGGCAAGAACTTCCTCTTCGTGAACCGGTTCGACATCCACTCAGGTGAGCACAAGCGGTTGTATAGGCATTCTCGAAATCATCTCATCAATGGCTAAAACAGTGCACTCGCTTTGTGATTTCTTTCCAAGATGGATGATAAAAAAGACAGTTTACCTTAACAATAGGATGGATCAGATGCTATGTTTTATTATATGTTTTATTATTAAGTCTGTTGTGTAGTTGCACAGACTGTAAACTTGACTGTGAACTCACATGAACGGTGAACTGAAGACACAACATAATGCTCCTAGTATTACGTCACCTGTATGTATCAGTAATGAAGCTTTCCACAAAAATGATTCCTGTGTATAATCAACGTTGAACTTTTGCTATTAATTATTGTTGCGTTACAGGTGTGATCTCGCTGGAATCCCCACCTTTTCCAATCCAAGCGGGTCAGCGGAAGAAAGTTCATATTAAGTTCTGGATTCGTGGCTCAGTCGTCTACCCTGCAGCTCTCAGGTTAGCCAGATGCTTCGAGAACAAAATGACTGAAATATCTGTATTCACATCATTATTTCCCAACGTTTCTTACTTTCTGTCATTACCTATCTGCCTATCTCTTGCTCTTTTTTAATTTGTTTTCTATTCTCTTCTTTCCTTCACATAATTGCCAATGTATTAACCCGCCAGATTACGTAAGAAGTCTGTAAATGGCGCATACGACGACCTCCCTTTCCTTAACCTTGCGGGGTACGGAGATGTCGACAACCCTGACTGGATTTTCCTCGATAAACAATATTATATCCCTGTTGACGAAACGGAAGATGCCTTCCAGGTCTGTTTACCTCTTGAATTTGAAGTAGGAAAAGGGTAAGGTTCTGCACCTTACCCTTTTCCCACTTCAAAGTCGATATTGGCGAGGGGAATGTCTCAGCTTATTCTAGCATTAAGAAAAGTGTAAGATGAGGGGAAAGGGGAAGGGGGAAAATGACTGGATGAATGAGGAAAGGGAAGAGAGAAGTTTAAGATGAGGGGAAAGGGGAAGGGAAAATGATGATGAATGAGGAAAGGGAAGAGAGAAGTTTTAAGATGAGGGGAAGGGGGAAAATGACTGGATGAATGAGGAAAGGGGAAGAGAGAAGTTTAAGATGAGGGGAAAGGGGAAGGGGGAATGATGATGAATGAGGAAAGGGAAGAGAGAAGTTTAAGAAGAGGGAAAGGGAAGGGGAAATGATGAATGAAATGAGGAAAGGGAAGAGAGAAGTTTAAGATGAGGGGAAAGGGGAAGGAAAATGAATGGATGAATGAGGAAAGGGGGAAGAGGGAAGTTTAAGAAGAGGGGAAAGGGGAAGAGGAAAATGACTGGATGAATGAGGAAAGGGAAGAGAGAAGTTTAAGATGAGGGGAAAGGGGAAGGGGGAAATGAGTGGATGAATGAGGAAAGGGAAGAGAGAAGTTTAAGATGAGGGGAAAGGGAAGGGGGGAAAATGATGAATGAATGAGGAAAGGGGAAGAAAGTTTAAGATGAGGGGAAAGGAAGGGGGAAATGACTGATGAATGAGGAAAGGAAGAGAGAAGTTTAAGATGAGGGAAAGGGGAAGGGGGGATGAAAATGATGAATGAGGAAAGGAAGAGAGAAGTTTAAGATGATGGGAAAGGGGAAGGGGGAAATGACTGGATGAATGAGGAAAGGGAAGAGAGAAGTTTAAGAGGGGGAAGGGGGAATGACTGGATGAATGAGGAAAGGGAAGAGAGAAGTTTAAGATGAGGGGAAAGGGGAAGGAGGGAAATGACTGGATGAATGAGGAAAGGGAAGAGAGAAGTTTAAGATGAGGGGAAAGGGGAAGGGGGAAAATGAGTGGATGAATGAGGAAAGGGAAGAGAGAAGTTTAAGATGAGGGGAAAAGGGAAGGGGGAAAATGAGTGGATGAATGAGGAAAGGAAGAGAGAAGTTTAAGATGAGGAAAGGGGAAGGGGGAAATGACTGGATGAATGAGGAAGGGAAGAGAGAAGTTTAAGATGAGGGGAAAAGGGGAAGGGGAAATGAGGGATGATGAATGAGGAAAGGGAAGAGAGAAGTTTAAGAATGAGGGGAAAGGGGAGAGGAGGGAAAATGACTGGAGAAAATGAGGAAATGGGAAGAGAGAGAAGTTTAAGATGAGGGGGAGAAGGGACGGGGGGAAAATGAATGGATGAATGAGGAAGGGGAGAGAAAAGTTTAAGTGAGGGGAAAGGGGGAAAATGACTGGATGAATGAGGAAAGGGAAGAGAGAAGTTTAAGATGAGGGGAAAGGGGAAGGGGGAAAATGACTGGATGAATGAGGAAAGGGAAGAGAGAAGTTTAAGATGAGGGGAAAGGGGAAAGAGGAAAAATGAGTGGATGAATGAGGAAGAGGGAAGAGAAAGTTTAAGATGAGGGGAAAGGGGAAGGGGGGAAAATGAACTGGATGAATGAGGAAAGGGAAGAGAGAAGTTTAAGATGAGGGGAAGGGAAAATGACTGGATGATGAGGAAAGGAAAAGAGAGAAGTTTAAGAAGAGGGGAAAGGGGAAGGGGAAAAATGGACTGGATGAATGAGGAAAGGGAAAAGAGAAGTTTAAGATGAGGGGAAAGGGGAAGGGGGAAATGACTGGGATGAATGAGGAAAGGGAAGAGAGAAGAAGTTTAAGGATGAGGGGAAGGGGGAAAATGAGCTGGATGAATGAGGAAAGGGAAGAGAGAAGTTTAAGATGAGGGAAAGGGAAGGGGGAAAATGATGGATGAATGAGGAAAGGGAAGAGAGAAGTTAAGATGAGGGGAAGGGGGAAAATGACTGGATGAATGAGGAAAGGGAAGAGAGAAGTTTTAAGATGAATGGGATGAATGAGGAAAGGGAAGAGGAGAAGTTTAAGATGAGGGAAGAGGGGAAGGGGAAAATGACTGGATGAATGAGGAAAGGAAGAGAGAAGTTTAAGATGAGGGGAAAGGGAAGGGGGAAAGAATGGATGAATGAGGAAAGGGAAGAGAGAAGTTTAAGATGAGGGGAAGGGGGAAAATGACTGGATGAATGAGGAAAGGGAAGAGAGAAGTTTAAGATGAGGGAAAGGGGAAGAGGGAAAATGAGTGGATGAATGAGGAAAGGGAAGAGAGAAGTTTAAGATGAGGGAAAGGGGAAGGGGGAAAATGAGGATGAATGAGAAAGAAGAGAAGTTTAAGATGAGGGGAAAGGGGAAGGAGGGAAATGACTGGATGAATGAGGAAAGGGAAGAGAGAAGTTTAAGATGAGGGGAAAGGGGAAGGGGGAAAATGACTGGATTATTGAGGAAATGAGTGATGAATGAGAAGAGATGATGAGGAATGTTTAAGATGCGGGGAGAGAAGGATTGATGACTGGAAGAGAGAAGGATGAGGGGAAAGGGGAAGGGGGAAAATGAGTGGATGAATGAGGAAAGGGAAGAGAGAATTTAAGAAGAGGGGAAATTAAACAACAATAACTTTGCTTTACAGATTGTGGTTGAGGCAGATCTCGGCAGCGACATGAACAATTTGGTCGCGCTGGACGATCTACGAATCATCACCGAGTACATTTCCGCCTAAGGACAGGGCATAGGCCTACCTTCCGCTTAAAGGCAGGGCATAGGCCTACCTACCGACAGTTCACCAAGAGTGGATGGATACGCTTTTGTTTATATTTTTCTTAAGACAGAAAAGAAGGAAGATAATCAACACAATTAACATACCATGGTTATTGTTATGAGGAAATATAATGCATTTTGGTTTATGTATGAATCAATTTGGCTTAGTTATTATACCTATTCACGTGTATTTTTTATGTACATCCGACAAATAAACTTTTAAAATGAAATTAAGAAAAAATATTTATTATAGCAACTTTCCGAGTTGCATCTCTAAACGTGGGCCAGAAATCCCATATTGCAGGTTCGTTGAGAGTGGCGAGTGGCAACTTATTTTTTGCTCGTATGAATCCATGACAGTATATGAATCAATAATGTGGATGTTGCAAACCTCAAAAGAAGCCCTTTGGTGTGGAAAATAAAGCTTGA